GCACTGCTGATCTTCTGTCGTCGCCAGGCCCAAGGTTGGTTGCATCTGCTAGCAATGCCGTCATCGTGAGCCTCAACAATCTCTTTGCCAGCTGGTTCGCCTGGGTGCTCTTCTCTGGTGTCCCTTCTTCTGCAAACACCATCCTTCTCACCTCTTGCAACCTCCTCTTCTGCTCAGCCTTTGCTCTCTCTGCTTCGAACTCTGTCTTGCCAAGCTGTTGTGAGGAGTCTGTAAAGCCCATGAAGTACGTCAAAAGGTTGATGCGCTTGCCTCCAAGCGTCTTGGTGCCTATATCAGATGGATTTGTAGCCGTATCCAATTTCCGCAAATCTAAATCTTTGCTCTGTCTCTGCTGGAGCCATAGTAGTCGGCCACTTAGGTGCTTCAACTTCCCAACACCTTCCTTCTGAGCGATTGCTATGCTCGAACTGTTGTCGCCATAGATGACCAACTTCACCTGCTCACCTGTAAGGTGTTCGACTGCAGCTTTCAACAGCAAACCTTCTGAAGCTCCTGACACCAAGGCAACATACTCTGCCTCCGTGCTTGACAACGTGATGTTCTTCTGGGTTCTGGCATAGGAGTGGATCCAATTGCCTGCCAAGAAAATACATCCTGCTGACGTCGAGCTTCGCGTCTGCTTGTTTCCTGACCAGTCTGAATCGCAGGTCACTTCCAGCAACCACATGTGCTCTGCTTCTTCAAACATGGGCGCCGTTGTCAGACCTCGTGTTCTGTTTCTGAACGAGTTGCTCTTCGTCTGACTTCTCATCACCAAATGCATGTCCATGGTTGTAGCCAAATAACCAACCAACTTCTCAAGAGCTTTCCATGCACCTTCTGTTGGACTTTGGAGTCGTCCTGCCAATTCTTTCACATGAAACTGGATGTCTGGCCTGTCACCGGCCATGTACAGCAATGTTCCAACTGCTGACCTGTACATTGGCTTCCTCCAGTCGTCCTCCTCCATGGTCTTTCCATCCTCAATTCCGGCTCCTGGAGTTCTCGATCTCTTCAAGGGACTCATCATCTTCACAAGGTTGTGAATGTACTTTTCATTCACCATCATCTTGGTTTCTGAGGCATCCACCATCAAAGTCCTCTTCAAGAAGCTCAGCACTTGGTCATCCTCCGCAGACACCTTGTAGCGCTTCATGAGATGGTCAGTAACTCTGGCCACTTCTTTCTCTTCTCCTCCAAGGATCACGTCGTCGACATGGACTAGCAAGATCACATCTTGCCCTTTCCACAACGTGGGCGCTTCAGCACATGGCGTAAGCCCTGCCTCAATCAGGCTTTTCCTCAGTTCTTGGAACCATTGTGCTGCACCTTCTCGTTGTCCTGGAAGAATTCGGCCAAGAATCCATTCCTGCTGAAGTCCAAGTCGTTCTGCCAATGCCTTGTCTAGGCTACCTTTCACCTTTCGTGGCTGTGCACACATGTCCATGGTGATCATCTTCCAGCCTTTGACTTGACAAATGGCTGGTACCAGTCTCAGGAGTGAGTGTCCTCCCGCTGGTGCAAAGACATCTGTCCTGTTAGGATCACACCAGGCAAAAACAAGTGCAACCAATCTTGCCCTTCTCTTCCACCTGTTTTCTCGCCACCGCCAATCCATCACCAACTTTGTTGTGAGCAATGGAATGTCTTCCAAATCATCATTCTTTCCTGGTGGCAGTAAAACTGTCATGCCAATCAGCCTCTGAATTTCTTCCTTTGTGGCTTCATCTTCAATCTCCGAAAGCTCAGCCTCTGGCAACTCTGGAGGTTGATCTGGAAACTCCAAACTCTCATCTCCATCATACAGCAGTTCTCCGGCAACCACCATGCGAATTGTCGAAGCTGATGCCGGTTCCGGTTCATCCTTCTCTGAACTCCCTTTGGTCTTCAACATCTTCTTCGGTGCCGACCTTGCCACTTTCTTTGGCATCTCATCTTCCACATCTCCTTCTCCACCTGACCTCTTTGGACTATCCATGGGGCTTCTTCTTGGACTGGCTGGTGCCTTGTCAACCTCGCTCTCAACCATAGGTTCCTCCAAACTCTCAAGCAGGTCCTGCAGCAACGTGTCATCTGTGATCACCAGACCTCCTTCATCCTTTTCTTCATCTGGTTGTGTTGGAGTGTAATCACTCATGTCTGGATCATCTCCTTTGCTGCTTTCTTCATCTGCCCCTGCCTGTCTCTTCTCTCCTCGTCCTTCTTCACCCCTCAGCCTCGCCTCATCTTCTTTCTTCTTTGCTCTCTCCTCCTTAGCCAACTTCTTCTCTTCTGCTCGAATTCCTGGGGCGAGATCTGGCGGTAATGGGACCGTAGGAAATTTGCCAACCAGCGAAGAAGCTTTGGCACCAATCTGTCCAAACCCAATGTTCCATGGCCAGAACTTCACATACGTCACGGCCTCAGGGTCAAAAGGAGTCGGTAGCCTTCTGATGGTTCTTGTCCACTTCAAACCTGCAGCTGTTGCTACCATGTGGAAATCTGCTCTGTCTGTCTTCCCAAGCCATAAGCCCGGTTCAAACTTATCACTGCCGTTGGCTCTTTTCACCCTTGCCAACACTCTTTCACCAAAGACTGCAACTTTGCCACAGTATTTTCTTCCTGTCCTGGTCTCACAGGCTGGTTCACAACTGTTCCAACCTTTCGAATTTTGGCGTCCACCACCAACGAGTTGTGCCTAAACTGTAGGCTCTTGCTGAACAGGCCGTCCGTGCGTCAATCGTACATCTCCACCTCCTCCTTCTATCTTCCAACCTCTTCTCAGCAGCTTGCCCAATGCAAGTAGTGGTTCCTTGACGTTGGACAGGGCAAAACTCTCCCTTAACTCGACCAAATGGCCGTCTTCATCCTCAAGCTCGATCATGGCTTGGCGCACGCCGCCATTTGTCATCTTTCCTCCTTGAGCATCTCTCAACGAGGTCTCCCGATCAATCGGGAATCCCACTTCTCGGTAGCTCATGGCAACCACCGAGATGTCAGCACCTGAGTCGAGGATCACCATTGTTCCATCTTCTCCAGCGACTGTGCGAACAAAGTCAACTTTGTTGCATCCCTTCCTGTGGGGCCTCGAACCTCCACCACCGACCAAGTCCTCAAAACCCACAAAATGAGCTTCTCCTTGGCCTTCACTTGGATCCTTGAACATGATCCAATCTTCATCATTGTCGCTGTAGGTGAGGTCATAGGTCTCAGTCCAAACCATCCGGACATGCCCAACTCCATTGTCCTCTTCATCCTCAGGAAGGATCACCGTCTCGACCCTTCTGACATTCTTCGAGCTTGTTGATGGCGTCGTACCTGATGCCTGGGCAACACTTGCACTGTCTCCCACTGAAGTCGTGACAGTGGAAGATGTCTCACTGACTTGTCTCAATGCCCTCATTGGACATTCCTTGCTCCAATCCTTTGCCACCACAGACCTTGCAGGTGTCTGAAGATACACCTTTGCCCTTTCCCTTGGCATCTTTGCCTTTGCCATCCTTTCCTTTGTACTGCTTGCCCTTGCCCTTGTAGTCCACGTTGGCGTAGTTGCCAAAACCTTTCCCTTTCTGCTTGCCCTTGGACTTGCCGCCTTGTCCTTTCCTTTTCCTTTCCCTTTCTCTTTACCTTTAACTCTGTCAACATCCATGGGGATCACCTCATTGCGCCTGTCGTGGTCCTTAGTGATGGCCAGTTCCTTGTAGATTGCCTGGCTTCCCCATGAAGTGGTGGTTCGCTCATAGGCCAACATCTTCTCTGGCCTCCTTGTAGGACGTGTCCTCCGTCATCTGCAACTGCAAATGCTGTCTGACACCTTGCCATACTCTTCAGCCAACCCCTCCAGACCAAGCAACTGCTCGAGCATGGTCATCCCCTTGTCCTTCGTGAAGTTGGGGTGGTTGAGGACGGCTTGCAGCAAAGCGATCGACCTCGATCTCGTCTTTGGAGCCAACTGGAGGCTCAGCTGCCTCCACACCTCATCTCAGCAACTTGAGAGGCCTATTCCGTAGCAGCCCAACCAAAATGGCATAGAGCTTCTCTGACCTTCCTTTCTCTTCTGCTGTCATGCTGGAGAGCTTCACCTCGCTTTCTGAGCCCTCAATCGTGTCCAGCTCCTTGTTGTAGGCTTCTTCGGCGAAAGTGATCCAGCTGTTAAAAGCTAATCGCCAGTCTTGCCATTGGGACAGCTCTTCTTCCATATTCTTTGGCTCAAAGACCTCTGGGGATCTCACCACCTTGCTTGCTGCAGCGAATCCTTCGCCACTCTTCTTTCCTTCTTTCATCTCTTTCAGCGTCTTGACCGCCTCCTGGGCCATTGCGGCTGACTGCTGGCTAGCGGCCACCAATGCTTTTGCCACCTGTTCATCCATTTCTTCTTTTCTTCTTCTTTTCACCTTCTTTTCTTCTTCACTTCTTCTTCACTTCCCTGGATCTTTCTTCTTCTCCCGGGGTATATTTATTGAGCCCCCCGGGTCGGCTCCGCTACCATGAAAACACGTGAACGAACGTGCGACCGCCCGGTTTTCGTCTGCGTGGACGAGTCTTGAACCTGTATGTTGCGGGTATACCACAGCACTGGTAACTGCTTTACAAATATATATATATATATTGTTTAAAGAGCCGAGATATGTCACGCACACGCGAGCTCAGATATGATCTACGGTATGTTAACATGTTTGATTTTGCATATATATCTGTTTGGTGAAGCAAGACCCCAGCAAAAGTTACCGAAGCAGAATCCCGGCGCTAAAGCAACTCACCCAAGCAAGATACCAACAAAGCAATGCTAGCAAGAGTAGTGTTACCACCTCCGTAGCAGCAGCTAGCAGCAGATGTACTTGTAGCATACCTACAAATGCAGCTACATAAGTCTCAAGTCTCAAATGCATTGATGCAAATCTGTATTGAAGACCCTTTCTACAAAAGAACCCTTTGCAACGCTCCCGGGAAAACATGTTTGATTCTATTTGTTATCAAAAAATATCTTTCTCGAAAAATGTGTGCGGGGACGCCGGAACTGCCTCTTCCTCGTCCCCATCTTTGGCAAGCCCGAGGTCATCGTCATCACTTTCTTCATCAAGGCCAAACTTCTTGAACTGCCGAGGCAACCAGCCATGCAAAGATTGGCCACCATTTCTTGTTGGCACCATGCGCTACAGATTCAATATGATTCAATTAGGTGAAACAAAACCAACAATACCAACATGTTCCGTGTTGTATCATCTTGGCTGGGGGCACCGATGGAAGACCTCCTTCTTGGCGTTTCGGCACCGGTGCGAGCTTGGAGGGATCACTCATTCCAAGCCACTCCTGACACGTTACAGTAGGATCTTGGCAAACTCCGGCAAATATAGATCTACAAAGGCCCGTCCTTCATCACTCGAGACCAAACATCATCATCCACGACCCAAGGGTCCTGCGCACGAATGTATATAACTCCTTCCAAAGACTTCCCTCCCAAACCTTGCTTAGGATGTTTTGATTGGTAAGAAGCACAATGATGTCAAACACAAATGGTTGAAGATGGTTGAAGAATCGGCGTGGCCAAAAGTTCACGGCCTCAGGGAAATCGCCTTTGTCTTCGCCAAGATAATCCATGAAACCCTGGCAGCAACATGTGATCGATAGTGCAAAAACTCCCGAAGAGTTCAATGTGTGGGCACGGGCTGGCAGTAAAAGCACTGTTGCGGAAAGCAGTATTGAGAACTGAGACAAATATTTACTATCTTCAAAGTTTTGGCAGTGTCTGCTTGGTTGAAAACACGTGCTTTGTTTTTTTGGAAAGCCAACGTTGTTCAATTTCGATTGGAAGGGCTTCAGAATGCTTTAACCTCTAGCACGGATGGAATTTGGTCTGATCTGCCTACAGTTCTCGCCACGTCTCACAGCTCGGGCAGCGGGGTCAGCCCAAAGTGTCTTTCGTGAGAAACAGGGCAGAGTTTGCGCTCTCAAGCAAACCGGCTATGTTTGCGCAGAACACATGTCCACGCTGCATCTTCTGCTATGCATTATGCCGACGGGAAATTGCAGCTCCGGAGATAGGCAACATCAAGTTTTCCAAAAGTGTGGCGAGAGATGGCGAGAGTGCCTCTTGGAACTGTGGAACCAGGCTATGTCGATTTCATCTCCCGTGTCTGTTGCCTTGTATGGATGCAATTCTCATGTTGGCTTGGTCAAAGTCTAGTCCCCCGCAATGTGTCCTCGAACTTCAAAACGATATTCAAGGCATTTGCATTTGTGGTTCCAACCACAGAGTTTTTCAGTGTACCTGATCTAGACAAGTTCAATCTGTACTGGGCAAATCGCATGATGTCCTCTGGGCCCGCGGGTGGCATCGCTGTCTTTTCTGTGTAAACCTTTTCGAACTTTCTGATGTTTTATATTTTAAGATTGCATATTGCAGCTGAACTTTGTGAGAGACTCTTAGGCTATTTGCATCTGTTTGCGCGTTGGGCGTCACATGTCTTGCCCTTTTTTAAATGTGGCTTTCCTCAGCCCTCAAAATGCTTCGGCCGCCTGCAGATCTGCACTTGCTGCGCTTACTCACAAGCAATTGCAATTTTGAACGGTGCCTGTTTCTATGTGACATACAAATCCCATCAAACCCCTATGTTTATATACATCCAAATAATTGAAAGATGCTTAAAAAGTAGACTGGAGCTGAGTAGACATGAGATGAAGTGAGGTAGGGATAGAGCTGAAATGCCCAGTTCAGGACAAGTACGAGAGGAGTACACTAGGTATAAAGGTGCAACGGGCTGAGTAAAAGAAGACACGCGTATATAGTGTGGGGATGTGTAAGGTGGAGGGACTAAACAAGTGGTTTTCTGAGATTTTGTATTGCGCAACTTCTACTCCTATGTTGTTCCACCCGCCTTTTTCAATCCTTCCTTGCGTTGGAGATATAATTCAAAGATAGTGCACAGTGACAGCATCTACCTTGGCATCATATCTTTCCAAACACTTGCTCCCTAGTCTCCTTCATTCTCCTTCTAGTCAAAGGCGTCAAACGTATTCAACAGTGCTATTTGCTTTCTGGCATCTTTGGAGACTTCAGGGGCCTGTCTTTAGCCTGCAAAAAAAATCGACATGGCATTTCAGTGCTAAAGCCCCGTCTTGCTTGTTCTCACGACCCCCTAACGAGGATGTGAAAATGAGAACGGGGTAGACATAAATGAGCGGCGTGACTACAACATGTCTTCGTTATTCTCGCAGCATCCACCTCAAGAATCCATTCAATTCAGCCAAGTTCATGCAAATATTCCGATTATCCGCAAAAACAACCATGCTCAATTGACGATGCCCCAGGTTGCTCAAAAGCCACTCATTCTGCAGAAATTGGAACTAGGAACGTGTAGCCACAACACACCCCACTGGGTGTGTTGCGCTTGCAAGCAGCTGCCTTCCTCCTACATGGAAGTATGAGGACGGGTCATTTGTTCAATACTGAGTGACGCCCAACACTTGGAAGTGACATGATGTAGTTCACTTTGTCCACTGCTCCTCTCTTTTGTTGCAAATGGCCTTCGCCAATGTGCGCTTCACGCTGGTAAATTTCATCTCTCTGAAAGTGACCCCGCTCCTTGAATGAAAGTGGATTCCCGGGCTTTCACTTCTACTCCAAAGCAGGATGGACAGGGGATCATCTGCGCACACAGATCAGGATCATCTGCGCACACAGCCAAGATCATCTGCGCACACAGATCTGGATCATCTGCGCACACAAATCTGGATCGTCTGCGCACACAGGGCACATCGGGTGGGGTGGGGTGGGGCTAATGACGTTCACTTCGACTAGCATTCATATCTAATATCCCAGTGTTGAAGTAAGGGTGCGGTGGTGGGGTGGGGTGGGGTTGGGGTGGGTTGGGAGGGGTGGGGCTCACACACATCTGAGCACCCTGGATCAACATCCGGCCTTTGCACCTACCGTAAGAACCCAAAGTGTGGCCAGTGTTTAGGCATCCCGCATACGGAAGCCGCGTGTACATACGATCCCCGCGTGTACAAACGATCCCCGTCACCGCGTGTACAGACGACCCGATTTCCACGTGTACAGACGAACCCCTGTCCAGCAGGATGCAAATTGGCTTCACTTGCAGCCCTTGCTCACCTTGCTTGTGGCCCTGCTGCCTCGATTCACTGTTCCACATGTTTGCCAATCCCCTGGCCTTCTCCCTTCTTCTTCGAAGCCGTAACACTGTCTAGTGTTGTTCGCAACGCCAGGACCAAAGCAAATAGGATCGTCAAATCCACAGTGCAAGAGCCGGGTGAGACTTACAAGTGTGTACGGAAGCAAAATTACAAGTGCTGATGGTCAAGGATCTTTGGGATATTTCTATACAATACTCTATAGATACTGCGAGTGCACAAAGGTATTGTGTGGACTTGCACTAGAAATGCTGGAATATGAGATGAATGCGCAAATTTGCGGTAGCAGTTCAAGATAAACAAATTGATATTGTATGTAGAATCTATGTGTCACTTTTGGTTTCCTGATCAGTCGAGTTGTTTGAGCGTAGTCTATCTGCAAGTATACAAATGTTAGTTACCCCTTGATGTTAGTTCTAATACTATCTGTCGCAATTCTACTCCAGCACATTATACAGTATACAAACCAGGCATTGCCTGGGTTTGAAACTCTGCCTGAGCCATGCCACCTCAAAATGCCAGCATGAAAAGGATTCATTACCATTCTATCCTTTAAAAATCTGGGATCTCTGCCCGTTGAGCCTCGACTTTGTAGAACATCTCTAAAGGGACTTGGTGAAACATCTTGTCGACAAGCTGCGCAGGCCTGGTAGAACTCCTCGAACTGTTGCTCAGACATCAAAGACTGCAAAGGCTGGGTAGGAAAGAGTCTGGGCAGAAACGCATTTATGTCTCTGTCTGTGATTGCAAGTCTGCCTTGGCTTGAGCAGCAGATACGGTGTGGCTATCAACTTGTTTCATTGCCTGTGTCGATTCAAACATTGGACACATGACGAACTTGACAGGCATTCTTCCACTGCACAGCGCCTTGACTAGCTCATCTCGCAAGATATCCCTTCCTAGGGAAGACGAACGAACGGTTTCCAGGGACATCCCATGAACTTGAAACTTGTGGAGTTTGGTCTACCGACTGCGCGACTCCATGTATACAAACGTTGTCAAATGTATGCTTATATGTATGTCAACGCTGATAAACGGCCCCGCTGGGAGTGTCGTGAGACGTATTCAAAATAAAGTTGTTTGTGTCAACATCAGCGCCACTCATACGTATAGCATATAAATATGTAAATAAATATAGTAATTATATATATACATATGTGCATACACACTTGGATCATGGCTCGCAAGAGCTGTATCAGTTAATGAAACCCCAGATTTCTGCAAGTAGACCTTTGCACTCAGTTAGACCTTGACTTGAATGAACTGCAGGAAGTGCTGGGTCAGATCAACAGAAAGTTTCAACCAAGCGCACTAGCCCCTTAAAGGAAGCTAAAAATTCTTGCAGGTACGTCCAGAAAGTGTCCTTTCTGGATATCACGACCAACCAATCACTGTCTTCATTGGGCAGTGAGTGATACTGGTCCACTGCCCCCCTGCACTGTACAACGGAGTTTTCCAGCTAGTATCTAATTACATGTGGCTAGAGTCCTTAGCGTGGCCGAAATCCTTGGGAACAGGAGTTGACACACACACAAAAAGCCGTCTTTCGGCGCTCCCTGATTGGCAAGGTGGGTGGGGAAGAAACATGACATAGTCCGTGCAGGCATAGGGACATGCTCATGCTCTCAACTAAATCAGTGGCCGTCTCCGGAAATGGATTGAAACGAGCAGCAACACTTTTCTGTGGACCGCTCGCAAGCGTTGCGCTAAATCGTGCCCTTTTTGAGCATATAGGTGGGCCAGGTGAGCGAGCGCTCGGTCAGCGGCTGAGGTAGGGTAGGTGTAGTTGCGGATGAGGTGTGCTCGTGAAGTGAGACCAGAAAGGCGTAGTCGTTGGGAACCAGCGGAAGCATAGTGTGATCGTGCGTTGAGTGAGATCCACATCGAATCCCAGGTGGTGCATGTCCTACTGTTTCCAGCTCCACCGGATTCCCAAAAAAGTCGGGATGCATCAAGGTTTGGACGCCAAAGTGGTTCAGGAAAATGTCGTTGAAGATGACGAAGCGGTTGTGTGAAGTGAACCTGGCTGTGATCTGTCAGGCTGTGGTGTAGCTGAGGCCAGGAGTGTTCACTGAGTGTGATGGCGACATTGCATAATGCTGGTGAGAGTTGGGGTCCAATCCCAGCTCCTCGGGTTTGTTTGTAGTGTGTAGTGCAAGCCTGAAAAATGCAGGTGTCTAGTGCAATCTTGACAATGGGAATGTCTTCGGTATCGATCGTGCGCTGTGCGGGGCGTCGACGATGATGTTGGCCGATGTGGGAGAGCTGGATGGGGTTGCCCGTGGCCAAAATATCGATAGTGAGAGTGGGTGTGTCAAATGTGAAACTCCATTTCGTGGTAAGGCTCTTGACAGCATCGAGCAGTCGGTCTTGCGGTACAGAGTTGAAGAAACCCACTAGGTCGTGGTTGGTGGCATGCTGGTTGATGTGTGGGTGTGTTGTTGAGA